AGGAGCGAGGATATAATACCTCTGACCGAGAACACAGAATAGGAGTTTGATACAAAATACGTGAGGAATTCGAAGAACCAAGATGGCGACTAAGACACGATCGTCGATTTCTATGAACCAGGAGCCAATCACTCAAGATTTCACACACGAGTAAGTAACTTAGGGCTCTGATACCATGCCAATTTGCCGAATGAATTTTTGTTCTGTCTACTTTCATATATATATATAGAAGTTTACAAATATGTACAAGGAAAACCTAGCTATAAAAGGAAACTAAATTATACAAGGAAAGAAACCATAAATCATGTCTAATAATTACGTTTACTGAATACATGTTTTTTTCATTGGAGTAGAAGACATAAAGTCAATGCAAGTTTGTGGATTATAATCTTGACTCCAAATACCTAAGGAATATTGGATAGTGCAGGATACCATAAAAAAAAAACACCTTGTTTTAAGAGCAACAAAAGCTAAAAAAACATTATATAATCTAGTCAGATCCAATAGTATATTAAACATGCTCAAACACGAGTCATCTTATTCCCTATTGCAAACTTCATTGTGTTTTAAGATTTGAGACCTCTTACTAGTGTTCTCAAGTTCCATGAAGGGCGCGAACACAATCTTGAATAAGATATCTTTCCCAATCTGCTGCATCCTCGAAAGCATATTTTGATAAGCTCTGAAAAGGTTCATTTCTGTGATCATTTTTAGCCAAATCATAAGTGGCTTAATTGATCACTCTCTTATTAGGCACACAAGGTCTCTTTGAAGTGAGTGTATCATATGCCGTATTAAGCTGCTAAGAAGGCGCACGAAAAAGTATTTCAATGAGCACAGATGATTTACATTGAGTTTAAGGTCCATAGTTAAATTCCATTGTTTCATAATAATTGCAGCTTAAGGTACTATTATGAATGATTTCAACAATGAAACACAAAATGAGCACTTACGTCCATATTGCAGAACTAGAACATGTAACAGAATCAAGACACGCAAGAAATGCAACTATGGAAATAGCTGGAATATAACCAACTATCTGTTACTTTGTCCACGTGTCCATCAAACATTTGTTGTAGCTTGGAGTTAGTTGGTTGGTAGTTACAGTTAGTTAGTTTCTTGATGTAATTCATCTTCTATTTATACATAACTGAACGTAATGTACATAAGGAAGATTCTGGAGTAATAGAATTCATTTTTCTCTTTTCTCCATTCAATTTTCCAATATGGTATCAGAGCTCTAAGTGCTTCTACTGCCAACATTTTCTTTGAAATTCAACTGTCTTGATTGATTCAATTGTTTCAATTTCTTTCTTTGGTTGATATGGCATCAACAACCATGCAACCATTAATTCACTATCATCAGTGAATAATTCCGATAATGATGATGCATTTAGTCCCTACTACATTCATCACTCAGACAATCCAAGGCTTGTACTTGTGTCACAACCTCTCACTGGTGATAGAGTTGCTTCATGGAGCGAGACTATGGTGATTGCCCTATCCGTGAAGAAAAAACTTGAATTTATAGATGGGTCATTGGCGAAACCTGAAGACAATGACGAACAACCCAATAATTGGGTCTACAACAATAATATGGTCATCTCATAGATATTCAATTCAGTATCGAAAGAGATTTCGGTACGTGTTATCTACTCCGAATCAGCAAATGATATGTGGATTGATCTGAAGGAAAGATTTTAGCAGAGAAACTGGCCTCGAATTTTTCAGCTAAGGCATGAACTGATGAATCTCAATCAAGGCCAGATGTCGGTTGGTGTGTATTTCACCAAATTGAAGACACTGTGGGAAGAATTAAGCAACTATAGACCAATATGCTCATGTGGAAAGTGTCTGTGGTGGATCCAAGAAGCTCTCTGAACATTATCAAACATTATCAGATGGAATATGTCATGTTGCTTTTAATGGGGCTGAATGATGCTTATGCTCAAGTTAGGGGGACAGCTGCTACTAATGGATCTCATACCTTCCATCAATAAAGTTTTCTCACTCGTTTCGTAGGAAAAACACCAAAGGAGTGTCAACACCAGTACCAATAATCCTGCCACTGAAGAATTTATGGCATTCTACACTAAAACCGATCCTAAGAAGGATGGTTCAAGACAAATGCACAACAAATTTCAAAGGGAGGAAAGACCCATGTGTACCTATTGTGGAATAACGGGACATTCAGTAGACAAATGTTATAAATTACACGGCTATCCTCCAAGTTATAAGATGAAGCAAAAATTCAATGATCAAGTGGGAAACCAATCAAGACAACTTGCTGTGAATCAAGTAGCATCTGAATCCAATTCCAAACAACAACAGAATATTGCAGGAGACCTCGGGCAGTCCTTAAACCAAACTCAATATCAGCAACTATTGAGTATGTTGAGCAATCATCTGGCCTCTGCGAAGACTAATTCAGGGACTGATGAAAACTACAATCAAGTGTCAGCTACATGCTTCTCCATTGCACTTGACACACGGTTAAAATCACCTAAGCACTGGATATTGGATTCTTGTGCAATCATTCATATTTGCTTTAATAAATCAGCCTTCCATACTATGAAACCAGTTAAAAACGCTCATGTCACTTTGCCAAATCATAAGTGAATCTCTGTTAAGTTCATTGGGACGGTGAAGTTTAGCCATGACCCGTTACTTGAAGATGTGTTATATGTACCACAATTTAAAGTCAATTTAATGTCCGTCAGTTCATTGACCAGGGACACTCACATTGATGTTAGATTCTCCACTAATACTTGTGTTATCCAGGATATGCACCACCAGAAGATGATTGGTAGGGCTAAGCAAGTTGTCGGGCTATACATATTAAGTGCACCATCTTCCTCACAAGTCAATGAAGGGAATCTTTCTTGTAATGATGTTTGTGTTTCTTTTTCATCAGCTGTAAATAAAGTGAATGCACATACTTAGCATCACAAGTTAGGACATTTGTCATTCCAGAAATTAGCATTGTTAAAAGATCAATTGCATTTGACTGGTGATAAGGAAAGTAACTACAATTTAGTTCCATTTACTATCTGTCCATTGGCAAAACAAAGAAGACTCTCCTTCATATCAAACAATCACTTATCTGTCAATGCTTTTGACTTGATACATTGTGATACATGGGGTCCTTACCATGTACCATCTCATTCTGGACATAAGTATTTTCTTACCTTAGTAGATGATTGTACGCGTTTTACTTGGGTTTAACTCATGAAACATAAATCAGAGGCTTGTTACATCATTCCCAGATTTTTTAAGTTGATTGAAACTAAATTTCAAGCAACTATAAAGAAATTCAGATCAAATAATGCCCTAGAATTGAAGTTTACTGAGTTCTTTCACTCTAAAGGAGTCATCCATCAATTTTCTTGTGTCAAAAGGCCTGAGCAAAATTCAATAGTTGAGCGTAAACACCAACATTTGCTCAATGTGGCTAGATCTTTATTTTTCCAAGCAAATATTCCTATTCAATTTTGGAGTGACTGCATCCTAACTGCAACCTTTCTCATCAATAGAACACCGTCCCCCATTTTGCAAAATCAAAGTCCTTTTTCCCTATTATACAAATCTCCTGTTGATTACCATCAATTTAGAGTATTTGGTAGTCTATATTTCGCATCCACTCTTCCTTCTAGTCGAACAAAATTTCATCCTCGAGCAAGAGCCTGTAAATTTGTAGAATATCATCCTGGGATCAAGGGATATAAAGTGTATGACATCTTGTCCAAAAATTTCTTCATTTCTAGAGATGTGGTCTCCCATGAATGCATCTTTCCCTTTCAATCTCTCTCTCATTCTCCTGACATGATCGATCCCTTTCCTGAACTTGTGTTGCCAGTTCCTAATTCTAATATTGTTTCTACTCCTACACGAATGCATATGCCAGAATCTATTAATCATGATGAACAAAATAATGCTACAAGTAACACAAATGAGATACAAAATGTCTCATATCCCACTTCTAGTTGTCCTTGCTCACAAAATGTTTCTAGAAAATCATCTCGAATCAGTAGGCCTCCATCATATCTTAGAGACTTTCATTGCAATCTTCTAACCAACAACACACAATCCCATGCCCCTTCACCTTATCAAAATACCTCTCCTATAAGGCCTTTTCTCCTAATCATCGTCATTTTCTCCTAAATATCTCATCCAACTATGAACCTGAATATTACCACATGCAGTTAAATATGATCATTGGCGAGCTACAATGTCAGCTGAACTGGAAGCAATGGAAATGACAAACGCCTAGTCTGTCACACCACTACCTGATGGAAAACACACGATTGGTTGCAGATGGATTTATAAAATCAAATATAAATCTGATGGGAGCATAGATAAGTACAAAGCACGCTTAGTTGCTAAGGGATATACCCAGCAAGAGGGATTGGACTTCATTGAGACTTTTTCACCGATTGCCAAACTCACTACAGTCAAGGCTCTTTTAGCTATTGCAACCATAAAAAGTTGGCACATCACTCAACTTGACGTTAACAACGCTTTTCTCAATGGAGACTTATTGAGGAAATCTATATAGACTTACCATTGGGCTATAGGAACTTTGCTGGTTCCAAAATTCAGGGGAAGAATATGCTTTGTAAACTTCACAAATCCATTTATGGTCTTAAACAGGCATCGAGGTAGTGGTTATCTAAATTTTCCAATGCTCTTATTGCTCATGGATTCACACAGTTTAAATCAGATTATTTAATATTCACCAAAGGTTCTGGTAACTCCTTCATTGCTCTCTTGGTCTATGTAGATGACATCCTCATCACAGATCTAATCAACTAGAAATCACCTCTCTTAAAAGTTTCTTACATTCTCAGTTTAAATTAAAAGATCATGGCAATCTGAAGTACTTTCTTGGGCTGGAAATTGCACGTCCTAAAAAAGGTTTTTTTTTTTATCACAAAGACAGTATGCTCTACAGTTGCTTGAGGACTCTGGATTTTTTGGCATGTAAACCAACTATGTTACCTATGGATCCAAAATTAAAACTCAGTTCTTTTGAAGGTGATCTTGTTTCTAATGCTTCTATGCATCGCAGATTGATTGGTCATCTTTTTTACCTCATTATATCTAGCCCTGATATCACCTATGCTGTCCACAAGTTAAGCCAAATTGTGTCTCAGCCCAGGAAGCCTCATCTGGATGTAGCTCATCACCTTTTGCAGTACATCAAGGCAAGTCCTGGTCAAGGAATTTCGTTCTCGACCCATTCTTCCTTTCAACTACGCGCATTTGTTGATGCGGATTGGGGCGCTTGTCTTGATATGAGGAAGTCTATCACTGGTTTTTACATATTCCTTGGTGATTCTATGATTTCTTGGAAAGCCAAGAAGCAGACTACAGTTTCTAAGTCCTCAGCCGAAGCTGAGTATCGTGCTTTAGCCTTGGCCATTAGTGAATTGGTTTGGATTTCTCAATTACTTCTTGATTTTCAGATTACCAAACAGGATCCTACTATCATGTTCTATGATAATCTTACAGCAATTCACATTGCCTCAATCCCATTTTTCATGAACGAACTAAACACATTGAGATTGATTGTCATTTTGTGTGGGATAAGGTGACAGATGGTTCTATCAAATTATTACCATTTCGTTCCAATCATCAGTTGGCTGATATTTTTACAAAAGCCTTGCCTGCTTCTTCGTTGTTTCCACTCTTGTCCAAGATGACTATGGTCAATCCCCACATTCCATCTTGAGGGGGAGTAACAGAATCAAGGCACACAAGAAATGCAACTATGGAAACAACTAGAATATAACCATCTGTTACTTTGTCCACGTGTCCATCAAACATTTGTTGTAGCATCGAGTGAGTTAGTTGTAGTTACAGTTAGTTAGTTTCTTGATGTAATTCATTTTCTATTTAAACATAACTGAATGTAATGTACAGACGGAAGATTCTGGAGTAATAGAATTCATTTTTCTCTTTTCTCCATTCAATTTTCCAATAACATGCTAGCAATTGCAAACCAGCATATAATGAACATATACCGGTCCATTGCCTTCTAAAATTGCCCATTCAAGTGAGGAAACAGCTTTCGGCAATCCACTTCTTACGGAATAGTAACTACAAGTTATATGACCACAATAAATTACTCATAGAGCGTGATAAAAGAACATATGTTTTCCAAAGATGTGGAAGCTAGGATCCAACAAATTTTTCTATGTTTGTCAGAATATATGATGTACAAAAATATGTAAGTTTGTATGTGTTCCTTTTCATTTTGCACATTTTTATAGAAAACCCCAAATGGAATCTTGGATATGAAGGGCTGGATAGCACTGGATGCTATTAACAAAGAAATAGAATTTCAAGTCTTGTTTATTATACCATCCTATGGTGTCGTACGACACACTAAATATACACGAAGAAGAACAGTGGATGACTAAAAACTTTATCGTCCACTCAGAACGGCGTATGAGGCTATTGCGGGTTTTAATACAAGCTGTTTTGCATTCTGTTTACATATATTACAGATGGTAAAGTATCAAATGTGCATATTGCTTGCATATCTTAGGGAGAATTCAAACTACGATAAGTTCTTTGTTCCACCAAATTGCACCCATAACACACTTCAACAGGCGTTGCAACGAAAAGAGATTAGCTCACAAGCCTTCTCATGTGATGGATTCTAAGTTCCTTGCATCGTTCTATTATAGATGTGTTCACGAAATTATTTTCTTCCGTAAAATTCTGTCGTTAACAAGTAATAAAGTGGATTCAATGAGTCCGAATATCGTCCCACAGAGATTGATTAGTTCAAATTTTATCAAACGTAGCCTTAATCGAAACTGGATTGCCAAAGTGGATGTGAACCTAAGTAAAACCCTAATTTCAAAAAGAAATCCTAGTTGCGCAAATTTAATGAGTGAATTGAAATTAAGACTCAAAACAATAATTTAACACTCTAGAATAAAACTAAATGTTGAGGACGCATGTTGTTATAATCAATAAAAATTAAACACACTAGGATCACGATTTCCCATGCAATTATCACTTTAAACCCTAGTTTCACAATATGACAACACACTTCAATTGTGACGAATCAATTTTCCTAAATCTATCCAATACTCTCTCTCGAGATGTATCAAACCTATTTCTACATACCACCGGCCTATATTTCTATGACAAGAGCATATGTAAAAATGCATGTGGTTTTATGAACACCTAAAGATTCAAGTAGGGCATAGTGATATATTTCTATTCCCTATCGGACCCTACGATGATTTATATTATGTCAAATCTACTCCATTTCTCTCGAATGTAAGAATAAATCACCCAAATTCACACAATTACGAGCCCTTAATTGCAGAAACATTAATTGCATATAAATCATTCAAAATAATAAAAATGTGTCTTAATATCAAATTGCAAAACTAGGATATTAAAATTCAAATTACATGGTTCATCGATCTCCTAGCACATGAAAATCTAGCCTAGCATGGTTAAAATAACAAAATACATCAGGTTTTGAGTAATAAGAATCACCGGATTATAAAAGCTTGAAGAAATCTTGAAATTCTAATAGTCAATATTCGTTCTTGCGCTCCAAATCCTCTTCAAGAAGTGTTTTTCTGCCTCCCAATGCGTTCTCGTCATTTCTGGACCTTTTTTGATATTTATATCCCCTAAATATTATGTTACTAAAGGAGTTTTAATCGTATAAGGAAAGAAAATTTCGCATCGAAAAGACTACCATGCGACCGCATGGTTTAAATCCGTGCGCCCGCATGGCTATTCCATGTTTCGATAAAAAAATTCCCTACATTCATTCGTGCGGCCGCACGGGAGTTCTACCATGTGGCCACATGGTAGACTCCAACTTCTATTCTCTTCAATTTAGTCCCTTTACTTGAATATTTCACTTCCAGGCCTCTTTTATTCACTCTTTCCATTCCATCATCCCAAGACATCATCAATTGGCATTTGGTTCAATCAATTCCTTGATTTGTTCATCGGGTCAACTTTTGGGTAATTGCACCTTGGTCCTTGAACTTTCACTTTGTGTCATTTTATTCCTTTTCCGCGTCTTTTCTCATGAATTTCACCATGTTCATCGGTGTTCCCTACAATTCACAAATGTAATGAAATTAAGTCACAATTCAATCATTTTGCTCGTAATTAAGTCATGTTTGTGATCTAAATAAGTGTGCAAAAATACACTTTTCAAATCCCCCAAACTTGAACTATTGTTTGTCCTCAAACAAGATAGTGACTTAATTCTGAACAAACATGGCTTAATACCCTGCTGCGGCTCAGGATTGGACTAAGTATTAGACTTTATGAAAATTTATCAGTACAAAAATGACATCAACCTTCACCTGTTAAATGCGTACTTAACGTGTGTGTGTGTGAATTCATGCCAATATATTAAGTTCATGATGGATTTGAGACCCGACCCCAAGTGGTCATTTGTATCCTTACTCGCTCGAGAGATACACAATCCCCCAAACTTATTCTTTTCACTCAATTATTCCAGGGTTGTGTTTTTAAAATTAGGAATTTACATAGCTGTAGTCCTCACCCTCTCGTAGTTTGGATTAATCTCACTATCACAAGTTTACATTTCAACAAGTGAAGGCTCTCATAAGTTTGATTGCTTCGACACTCAAGATTAAACTAGGTTACTTGCCTCGCCTCAAAGGTATAGTTTCTTTAACCAAATGTCCAAGGGCTTTTCATCATGTTATTATCTCTCTTTTGTTTTTCTCTCTTTTCTCTAATTTTTATTATTATTATTATTTTTTTTTTTTATTATCATCTTCTCATTTGCTTTCTATATAGCCCATGTAACGAGTTTTATGCCGATGACTCCCAAACTAGTTGGTTTTAGGGCACCAGGTTTTAAACCCTTACAAGTTTATTCACTCGAGTTATAAATGCTCAATCAGATGACTTTTTATTAACCTCTTTCCCTCTTGCTTTCTATATGACCCTTTTAGCGAGCTTTAGGCTGGTGACTCCCAAGCCAGTTGACTTTAGGGCACCAGATTTTGAAATATCCTTACAGATTTACTCGAGTCATAAAGGCATGAAAAGAAGTGTATTATTCTCACAAATTTATTTTATGCCCTTATTGTTCTAGACATTTAGTTTCCAAAACCAACCCCTAATTTAAGATTTTCACCAAATCTTCACCTCACTGGTCTAGGCAATCCACACAATAAAATTCATGCACGGAGCCTCCACTCATCTCAATGCTCCTCTATAATAGCTCAACCATTACCAAACTGTCTTAAAGCAGTTTACAGTTTAATTCAATAAAAGGTTATCATTCTTTTCCTATTTTGTGCTCAAACTCCTGTCATTCATCCAACATGTAAAGCATTATTAGTGTGCACAGATAATGTCAAGTGTTGCATCAACAAGTATCAATTAGCCTAATTGCAACATATCCAAAGTTTTTGTAGTTTAAACTAGTCCAATTATAACATCATAACTAGCAAGGTTATCAAGCTCACACAAGCATGCATGAAAAGAATAAAAGTAAAACTGAATAAAATGCATAGAATTTTTTTTTATCTATTCACTCAACATGCACACACTGTGGAATGCAAATACCGATGAACACAGATACTTAGTTAAAATTATATCACCCCCCAAACTTAGTTAATACATTGTCCTCAATGTAAAATTAACAGAAGATTAACGACAGAATTTTACGGACAACATGAAAAAGGAAAGTCAAAATGTGGTAAATAGTACTTCCCCTGTATCAAAATGGATGAGGTGGCGGGAAACTGGGTCCGAATGTACCATCATCTGGCGGTGGAGGGTGTCGTCCAAGGAGCTGCCGCATCATCTCATTCAGCTCCCTCATCAAGGTAAACTGCTGTGTCTGCTCGGCCTAGATAGCTCGCATGGTCTCCCAAGTTTCATTTACCCTCATTTGGATGCCGTCTACCCAGCCCACATACATGTTCAGCCAGCCATTCATGGTATCCTCCCGTCGCATGACTGTGACATGATTCCTGGCATCTCTGATGTAGTTCAACGCAAGGTGATTGTCTCTTTCTAAACTTCTCAATTTAGTCCGCATGTTGCCAAAATCCTGAAGGAAACTATAGAGGTCTCGGCTGATGCCTGTGGTGGTGGAGAATATCTGTCTCAGCAACTGATTGTCCACGTCAGCCTGTGGTGCTGGAGCCCGTGGGTGTTTCTGATATGCAGGGATTGGGCCTTGCTCTGCCTGTTGTATACGGCGCTCATTTTCTTGCTCTTCCCTGTGTTTAACCCGAGCCCTTGTTTGAGCATCAAATGTAGTTCGTTTGATCATGGGGTTAGGTTTTTCAGGTAACTCCTCAAGCAGGAGTGCAACACCCGTAACCCTACATGTGCCATTAATGAGGCTCGGGAATATCAGAGTGGAGCGGTGATCTCTCCAAGTTCCCAATAAGTATAGTTGATTGTCTATATGAGTAGCGAGATCTATCTTGTTGCCTCGAGCCAAGTGGTAGATGAACCCTGCTGTCTGATCTGGAAATGTAGTCATGTGTGATATGGGCTCGATATTGTGGCACATAAAGAGCCATAGAATGGCTATGGAAGGGGTAAGCTCAAT